TGACAGCTAATAAAATTGTTAAATTCTAATATTTTGCAAAATATATTTTCAAACTGTTTTTTGTTGTTATGTATTCAATTTTCTCTTCTTCGGTAATGTGATTTACAATTTATCACTATTCTATCTCTTCATTTGGGACAATAGAAAGCCATTGGATTTTTTAATATTATACATTGGGTGTGTTGCGCATGTTGGTATAATAAATAATATTTTTTTTCTAAATTTATATAGAAAGTCATTGGTTTTCCCATTCATTATGAATTACATTGAGTTGAATGTTAAGCAGACCCCTACTCAATCTGATGGAATTCCAAACAAATCTAAAATTAATATTAAAATAATATGTGCATAGATAATGCACCAACAGCATCCAATCATGAGAAGAATTGTATATCAATCAAGTAAAGATCCTCAAATGTAGAGGTAAAATATGCAACTATTAATCCAGTAGGGGAATATTACATTCAACCACAATCCAAAAGCACCAATATTAGAAGTATAACATAACAAGAAACGAAAAATTATAAACATAAATGGATTTCAACAAGTAAATAAGAAATTGCAATCTCATATCAATTACACGAGAACAAAATTCAATTAACCACACATCAGATTTCACAAACCCAAGCCAAATTTGAAGTATATATCTATATATATGGAAAGAAAACAACTACCAAATCAAACAAACATGCAAAAACAAAAGCTATTCATATCATATTTTCCTAAATTTAGAAACCAACCACTTCAACTGAGGTAGTTTTGAAGAAGGGGAAACAAGAATCGGGAAAGGAAATAGGGTTAACAAAAGGGGATTTTGGTCTAGGGTTTCATAGAATACGGTTGAAGAAAGGCGAGAGAAACGAGTTGCAAAGAGAGACATAGCGAGAGATTCATACCTTCAGGCAAAGTTTTTACATGTAGAAAATAGATATGGAACAATCAGTAAAAAAGATGCACTTCGCGGGATGGTCTTTTAGGGTAGACAAGATCGCCGGAGTTGTATCTGAAAACGGGAGGGTTTCGGACCAAATAACATAGGGTTTTGGCAAAACAACGTGAGCCTTTGTGGGGAGGGGGGAAGCACAATCAGTAAAAGGGAAAGGAAAAAAAAAAGTAACCGGTTGAGAAGGTATTCAATTTTTTTTAATTAAATTATGATTCAGATTAATTTATAGATATCTAAAAGTTTAAAAGTAAGGTGCACATGATATGTACATTTAATGAGGTGCACAATCCTTAATACTCTAATAATTGAACATAAAGTCATTCACAAAGATGACTTTCAAATGTTTATTGGATTTATATCATGTAGGCACATTTGAAATAATTCTTTCCTGAACGTTGATCCAATCTAGATGACCATCATTACACATTCATTTATGGCTTTCCACAATTCCCAGAAAATTGGTAAAGGTATCTTATATGTAACAATTCTTGTGTCTTCTTGGACTTTTAAATAAATCAATGAGTTCCATGAAATAAGTTGGCTCTACAAGAACAAATATTAACCATTCCAAATCGAATTGCATCAACTTCTCTAAATGCATCTTCATGAACTTACAATATCCAATTGTTTGTCTGTGAGCTTGTGAACTATAAAACCTTAATGGGTTTATACAGTAACATCAAAATATCCATTCGTTTCTCAGTTTATACAATTCCCAAAAAATTACTAAAGGTCCACATCCCAAACCACTTTAATTTTCTTTCTCATAGGAAAATCAAGCCACCACAAGAGTAATTGTTAGAAACATAAAACAGATTTCAATAAACAAATAAAAAATTACAGTCTCATATCAGTTACATGACTGCAAAATTCAATTACCCACACATCAGATTTCAAACACAAGCCAAATTTCAAGGGTATATATATATATATATATGGAATCAAAACAACTAACAAACATAAAAAAACCTAAACCTATTCAAATCATATTTTCCTAATTTTATAAACCAACCTAGTGAGTTCACAAAGGTGAAAGGGGCAGTTTCGAAGAAAGGGATTTCGGTCTAGAGTTTCATAGAATGGAGATGGAGAAAGGGAGAGAAACAAGTTGGAGGGAGAGAGAGAGAGAGAGAGAGAGACATATATTGAGGCATGTAGCTTACTAAAACGTGGAGGAAAAGAAAAGGGCAGAGGAATAAACTCACTTTTCGGTGCTTGGCGCGGAGGAGGTCCGGCAAGATCTTGTAAAGATCTTCGTCAACAGCTTTGGGAGCTTTTCTCCGTGGCAGAGGATGCGGCGGCAAAAGCAAAACAGGTCTCGACGGTGGCAAGGGCAGAGGCGACGACCGGGAGAGAGAGAGAGAGAGATTTCTGAAAACGTTTGGGATGAAGATAGGGTCTAGGGATTTGTCCAAATTAATGAAGGAATTTTGATTTTGACAAAATTTGGATGTTTGTTCCAAATTTTTGGAGAAAATTATTTGGGGGAATTATGTAATAATCCTTATAAAAAAAATTAAAAAATTAAAAAATTTAGAGTCTCATAATAAAAAATAAATTATTAATTTATAATTTTGTCAATTTATACTCAATATTTTTTTATTTCTTTTTAATATAAATCCTTCATCTATTTTTATTAAGTAAAATTAATAAAAAATAGCATTTTACTCATCAACTACAAAATGTATAATCACACCATTAATTGGAGTAACAAAAATATTTAAAATTTTAAAAACCACAAATATCGTAATCAAGTCCCAAAGTTTTGTAATATAAAACACAATATATATAACTGCATCACTAATTGGCGTAACAAAATTGTTTAAAATTATAGAAAATCACAAATGTTGTAACTAATTCCCAAAATTTTGTAACATTAACCAAGAATTATGTAACTATCCACTAACTAGTGTAACAAAAACATCTAAAAATTTTAAAAACCACAAATGTTATAACCAACTCACAAAATTTAATAACATCAATTACAAAATGCGTAACTGTACCACTAATTGGCATAATAAAAATAATCAAAAGTCTTACAAATCACAAATGTCATAACCAACCCATAAAATTTCATAACATCAATCACAAAATGTGTAACACAACTAATTGATGTAGCAAAAATATTCAAATTTTTTATAAACCACAAATATTGTAATCAAGCAACAAAATTTCATAATAATTATCATAAAATGACTAACAAATCACTAAAAATCCTAGAATTACCAATCAGGATCTCTCATGATACAGAGAAAACAAAATGTAACAACAATCATTAAATAATTTAATCAATGACTTAAAGCCATAGAACAGAAAATGAGAGTTAGAGAAGATTAACCAATAGAGCGAAAAGAAAGGGAACATGAGAAAGAGAGACTGAACGGGCTTACCGGCTGTGAAAATGACGTCAAAGTTGGTGTCATTTTCGATAAGGAACATTGGAGATATCTACAATAATAGTAAGGAATGAGAGAGATGCTTGAGGGATGAAAAGGACTGAGATGGCAGAACAATACAACAACATGCGTAATATTCATTTTTAACAGTTCTATAACACATGTACAAATTGATAATAACAAAACCTTCAAATCATAACTACGGCCAAAGGTTTGTGTATTTATGACATTAATGTGAAAGAGCTAGAGTTTCGAGATAAATGCATTTACTAGATAGAGAAATGTCATTAGAATGAATAGTGTTGAAATAGACAGAGAGAGTAGCGACGAGTTCAAGGATTTATTCTAGAGACACAGGAGTAGAGAGATGAAGAATCCAGTGAGGAAGAACTATCAACGATGATCGTTCGATGATTTGAGCGAAATAGAGAAGCCTGATTAAGAAATAGAGCGAGCTCAGGCACAACTAGGACAAATCAAGGGAAAGAAAACTGAGTGGAGAAAAAAACGAAGAAAAGTTGGGAAAAAAATTTTAGAGAAAAATTATTTAGTAGAATTAAATAAAATCACGTCACAGATAATTTTTTTCAACATATTTTTTATTAAAATTTAGTTAAATTATATATATATATATATATGTCTATAAGTGTATATAGATATTTTAAAAAGTATATCGTTTGTATATTATTATTTCTATTATATTTAATGAAGATACTATGACTACAAATAAATCTAAAATAGAGATAGGTGATCAATTACAATTGTCACTTAGGGATAACACTTTAAAATTAATTGAAAGAGTTGAGAGTTCAGAGAGAATGAGAGTTTGAGAGACAGATTTGTTTGTGAGAAATAAAATGAGAGAGGGGTGGTATTTATAAGACTTGAGAGGGAGGGGTTAATTTATATATATATAAATAAAAATAAAATAAAATTGGCTAGGTGTGGAATTAATGGTTATATGACTGTTTCAATTTTTTTTTGTTTTAAATTTTTGACCATTGCATTGACAGGGGGCAGGGAGCCATTGGGGTTGGGTTGAGCCAGATAGGGAAAAAGAATTTGGGCCAAGCTCACGGGATGGAGCGCATTCCATAACACACCAGGGCCATGCTGGGCTCTAGAACACATAGCCTAAGGTCTTAGGTTGGGCTTAGGCTTAGGTCTGGTTGGGCCTACCCAGGGCGTAAGTGGACTTAAGGTGTGCCGCAAGCTCGTGGGCCAAATTTACACCCCTATATGTGGGTAGTGATTATGAGATATGTGATTAGTTGTTATGATATATGTGATGTTGGTTATCAGACAAAGGGTGTTGGTTATTACATATGTTGGTAAAGGTAATGAGATATATAATTAGTGATTATGAGATAAGTGATTATGGTTATGAGCAGAATAGTGTAGTTATAAGTCAAAGAGTGTTTGGTTATGAGATATGCGATTAGTGGTTATGAGATATGTAATATTGGTTATGATCAAAATAGTGTGGTTATGAAATATTTGATTAGTAGTTATGATATATATGGCTAAGTTATGATCAATTTAATTATAGTTATGAAGAAATATGATTTTGGCTCATAACTATAAAAAGTGACCTGTTTAGCAGGTCACTTTTAATGATGTGGCTCAATCTTAGCCATTTATTTTCTATGTACCGTACATTTTTTTGAACAAAATGTACTATAGACTTTGATGAACATTGGGAAAATTTTAGGTGGGTTTGCAAAATGGACTAGGATTCCCCACATAACCACCCTTGCAATAATCTTGCAATAGTAGTTTAGTTAAGTATTTTAAGCTCAAAACATGATTGGTGATAGTGCAATGCTTTAAAGCCCAAAACACCAAGATTATTGCTTGAAAAGTATTCTATGGTTTTAGTAGGTTTTTCGCTTCCTTTTTTCTTTCTTTTTTTTTTTTTTTTTTTTTTTTGAAGGAATACTAGTTAAAAAAATGTGATGCTTTTAACAAATGCTAAATTTTTTTTTTTTTTTTTTTTTTTTTGGTTAGTGAGAAAGGATAATCTTTACCTTTAACAATTTCTAAATAAGCCACTGCCAAGCAGACAAAAATGGGTTGAAGAAATTAGAAAGTGGTTTGACTATGCTTTGTGGAGACAAGTGGGGTGTCTTTGTTTGAACTCCATAGTTATCTAGTTAACAGGCTTATGGATTTTGAAAAACCTAGTCACAACTGTACTTTCAAAGCAATAGAATTGAGATGCACAGAAAATATGCAAGGGATAGGTAACCACACATTAAAGATATTTCCTTCTATGTTTTGAAACCATATTTATAAGGCTACAACTACATATCTAACCAGTTTATACAGCTTAAAAATGGGATTAAGGAACCAAAATATCTAGAAGTTTGTTTGAGACAAAATGAAGATTTTCCATTAATTAGCATGACATCACCTGTAACAACCCAGGCAGTGTAGAGTTTAGGTAGTGGAATGTACATCTAGTGACCAGCAAGCTCTTTAAAGACTGGAATGACAAATCAAATCCTTACCCAAAACTAGAACCAGAAGATATTTCAATAATGTCCAGTTAGTTCAATAATGCAACAGCCCCTGGCTAGGATGTTGCCCATTAAGCGGGTTGTGTTCATCGCTAACATGTCATAAGCACAAACCAGTACCAGGTAGAATATGAAAAACCCACTACACCTTGTTTTCTCAAAACAAGTTGTGTTTTTCAGAAAAATAAAACCCCAAATAATAATAATAATAATAAATATATGGCACAGACTGTCACACCCCAAACCTGGGTATGACTAGCCGTGGCCCACAGGGCCTTAGCCCAAGGCACACGTTAGCCTAAACACGAATCCATAATCACATAGAATAACTGTAACAATAGTCCAGTAAAAATAAATCAAAGCTCAATCCCATGACATGTCACAAGTATGTATGGCAAAACAAGCCATAACCAACTTTCAAAAATATATACTAAATGGAACACAACCCGCCTATAAAATAAAATAATTCTAAATAAAATTCAACCACAACGTATGCTCAAAACCGACATAACAAGCTAAAACAAAATAAATGAATGTCCTAGAGGTCCATGCAATTGAGTCCCCACTATGCCATGAGTCCACTCTAAGTCCTTCTAACACTTAGAAATGATGAATAACTAAGTTAGCTGATAGCTCAGTGAGTAGAAGTATGAATAGTAAATACAATTTTGAAAACAAGGTTCAAATCCAAAATAAAATATATATCACAGAAACTAGATTGACATACAATTTTGATAAAGACAATCTGTTTCAAAAAGAAGGTTCCATAGTTCAACTATTAAAACACTCATGTCTTTCAAGAACATAACAAATGACATTCTCCACTTAAAACAGATTACAACATGATCATCAATAATTTACTAGGTACCAAGAATAACAAGTAACATGTCACAGTTCTCAAGGCAATAAACCCGTTGGATTCAATATCGAATCAAGAATCATCCTCGGGGTGGCAACCCGGGTCTTTTCTCTAAGACGATTCGATTAAAGGTCATTCAGCCTAGCCCAGGTCTTTTCCTTACATTCGTTGAGCACTAGAGTCATCACAGCCCAACCCGGATCTGTTCCCTAGTCGCCAAAGTCACCACACACTGTGGAATAATTTCCCTCAACTTCTATATATAGACGGTCTCAATAATTCATACAATTCAGTTTCGCAAAACATGATAGTTCACCAAGATAAACATGAGACCATAACAAATAGTTTACAATATGCCAAGTTTACACATGTTTCATAAATAAATTAATTCCATTGATAATATAATAATTTTATCAAAATAGTTTAGAACTGAAACAATAATTTAATTTTCTAACAGTTCAGGGTAGGGGAACATTTATAAAAATATGTGGCATGCAACTACTCACATGAAAATGGAATAATATAATCCTCGAATAGAGTATTAAGTCCAACTAGTGCCCTGACCCAAGTATGAAAGCTACGCGACACTATTAATTTAAAAAAAATACTAAAGAATAAGAAACTAAGTAACCCCAAGTTAAAGTCTACTATCCCGGCTCAACCCAACTCACCGTTACTTTTAAATAATACCTAAGTTCATGTTCTTCAAGGTCTAAAATTACCCAAGACATGGGTTCAGATCGAAATTTAATTAGAAGTAACTTTAAGATAAACTAAAATTTAAAATAAGTTTTCCCAATCTATTCGCTAACTTCGAAAATTAAAAACCCACTCCACGCTATTAGAAAAATTCCAAAACCCTTCAGATATCAACTAATATATCCTAAGATTCAAACCCAATTGGTTTTACTTGATTCGCTTGTCAAAATAATTATTTACAATTACTTATATCCATAGAGGTCGCTTTTTGCAGCACTTTAAAGAAGTTAACGATTCTCTTAGTATGCACAAGCAATCAAAGCAAGGCCAAATATTTAAGAAACTAAACTCATAACCGATTCTAATGGCGCTAATTTGATAATTTTAAAATTTATACCCAAAGAGAACGACACTTCGGAAGTTACTGTTTTGTACTAGTTTCCTGGACAGATTTGAACGCATCAGTTTATGTGGATTTTGACTCCCAAAAATTATAAAAATTCTAGTATGCAATTCAATATGTAATTAAGCTACTGTAAAATTCAGTTTAAAATTCATCCGTTTGATATGGTTTCTTGATTTTGTGCAGAATTCTTATCCAACGACTTTAGCTCCTTAATTCGCTTTAAAATTTTGCATGATAATTATCTACACAACATTCTGTCCCAATCAGCCAATCTGTTCCTTTTTCTTCCAACAACTCAGAACACCCACATGCACCATAACTTTGTAAAAACATACCATAATAGAACAAGAATAGATTGATTGTTACCTTAGAGTTGTTGAGCCACAAAGGTACTGGAAGTTTCTCTCTCCCTCTCTCTTTTCTGTCTCTTGCTCTCTCTTTCTCCCTCACTCTCACGGCTGCTATGAAATGAATAAGAGAACTTAGGTTTTTTTTTTATCAATTATATAACAGGTCTCTTAATTTAGATAAAATACTACTATTATTAAGTTTCTTTCTCTCCCTCTCTTTTCTGTCTCTTGCTCTC